TTATGTCCAAGTGTGCAACATATGCACTGCAAGGCCAGAAGTGTGTGGACCAGACTTTCATGTTTTAATTAAGATATTTTCTAAATTTTACTTCTAAAAGGGTTAAATTAATAATATTTTTTCTCAAAGCAAGGTTACATCTGTGAGATGGATGTAGAAGTGTCAGAATCAATATAGATGTTTCTGTGTCAGAGTGAATTCAGATGGAACATAGTAAAAAAGTGTAAATTCTTACCTCCGCCTGAAGAAATATATCTTTTTAAAAAATCCTTTGATTACAATTGTGCTGTAAACTGCTTGTCGATATAAAACTAGCATACTCTCTTGCTCCCACCCACATTAGCTTAGAAACTCTGATGTCATCTCACTGAGCGCAGCGGTTCCATCCTTTAGGGTGTTTTTTCTGGCACTTAGTAAAATAATGACCCTACAGTAAGTGACATATTTCATGGTTTGGATTCATTTTGAGCAGATTATTTCCATTGCATTGCATCAGAGATAGTTTATTTAAATCATACATATGCTACTTAATAGACTCTGCCTTACTCTTGACTACTGTCCTAGTTTTCTAATGTGTGACGACGCTGTATAGCAGAGAGGGAGCAATGAATCTTATCCTGTGAGATTTCAAAAAGTATATATCTTAATCAGTAATCCAAACTTGAGTTAACTTCACAATGGCTAAAGGTACACATGGAAGTAAGAAATTACTTGGTGTTTTGATGATGAGGGGGTCCTGGGAAAATGTTCTCCTCTGTCAGAGGTCCCAGGCCCCTAAGATTTGGAGACCCCCTGTATTAAAGGAAATACGGTATTGCACTTTTAACATGTGTGTAATGATGATGTACAGCCACATGGGGGCAGGCTGACCCAAAAGATAGCATATCAAGCGAGGTACAGGTTGACTGTAGGGAGAAAGCTCTTTACTAAAGGCGCGTTCACACTGCAGTACTTTTCCCACTTTAGTTAATCAGAACTTAGTTAAACAGAACTTAGTTCATGAGAACTCTTTAGTTCTCATGAACTAAAGAGGGAAAAGTACTCTTCACCAGAATAAGTCCCTGGGGGAGGATTAGGCAAATGAAGCCGCTGACGTCACTTCTTCTTCTTCTGCTTTGGGTTTACTGGCAGGCCGCAAACAACTTCACGGCGTATACTGCCACCCGGAGTCCCCGGAGTTGGGGACTGGCTTCAGTAGAAGCTGCTGGGAATCCCAGCAGCTTCTACTGAAGCCTTCCGAGTAAATCGCCAGAACGCCGACACCTCCTCATCTCCACCGCTCCCATGTTTTCTTTTGTGTTGCCATAAGTTAGTCTCTCTGCGTTTGTGCACTGGGCTAATGCTAATGCTAATGCGAGGATAATAAAATGGCGGCTTCACAAAACTTTTTGGGAGTTTAACGGGGTGTGGTTTGCAATCCGCCCAGCCAATCAGACATAGGAACCTTTTTCTCCCACGAAAGTACCTGCTCTCTAGCAGGGACGGAAAAGAGGGTAAAAAGGTTCTGATGAACTCATTTTAGTTCCGGCTCTTTTTGGTGTGAATGCGACATTTCGGAACTATATCGGAACTAAAGTGGGAAAAGTACTGCGGTGTGAACGCGCCTTAAGAGTAACTGGGTGTTTCTCAATGTCGAGGACGCTTGCTTGGTAGCACATGTCTTCCGAGTCACTTGGTTCAGAAGCGAGGCAAGAATCCTTCCTAGCCTCGGAAAACGAAGAATTGTGGAACAGGTGTGCAGGTGTGCGTCATATGCGAGGCCCCGCCTTAAATGGAGCGCAATTTCCGCCAAAGATTTGGAAATTGGTCTGTGCGCAAAGCATTGTGGGGATTTTAAGACCGCGGAGTCTACACATGTGCAGCCTCGACATTTCTTGCTACGAAGTACGCCAGCCTCGGTAGAATTCCAAGTATGCTGGACATTGGAACAGTCCTTCCGGCGGCACTCGATTACGTAGTATGCTTGAAATAGTGGCTCTGGAGCAGCCTTCCTCGACATTGAGAAACACCCTCTGTGTTGCTCTGCACAATGGAAGAGCCAGCAAGCAGAGGGGGAAAAGTACTCAGATCTTGTACTTGAGTAAAAGTAGAACTACTCAGATCTTGTACTTAAAGTGGACCTATCATGCTATATTTGAATAATATAGTGTAGGACCATACCTATATAAGGCATATTTATACTTTTTTTTTTTCAAAATACCAAACAGATCATGCATTTTAGCCATGCCTCATTTTGCTCAATTTGACATTTTTTAGCTCTGTTTTTGCAAGGGCTGATTCTGTGAGAACAGCACCATCTACAGGCCTGGCATATGTACTACAGCGTCTCCAGCGCTTTCGAACGGCAATGGCCGTGGCTGTCTCCTCCTGATTGGTGGAGTTGGCCCAATAGCCGTAGCGCCACCGTCCTGACGTCAGGACAGTGTTCAAATCTGGATCAGTTTTTATCAGATCCGTTGCAGCCCCTTTTTTAGAGATTTGGGTATGGAGGAAAATAGAGAGGGTTGTGTTTTCTGACACTTGGTGAGTTCCCTGGAACACCGGGGACACATATTCATGTATAAAAGACGTACAAAAGTGCATTTTGCATGATAGGTCCCCTTTAAGTAAATATAAATATAAGTAAAAGTAGAAGTACCAGAGTGTAGGAATACTCTGTTACAAGTTAAAGTACTGCATTCAAAATGTTTCTCAAGTAAAAGTAGAAAAGTATTATCATCAAAATATACTTAAGTACCAAAAATAAAAGTAGTCATTGTGCAGATTGGTACATTTCAGAATAATATATATGATATGTTTTATAATTATTGATGCATTAAAGTGTTCTCAAAACTAGTAAATGTGCAGCTAGTTTGAATGACTTTGTATACTGCAGGGTATGGTAAAAGGTAAATGTAATCAATGTCTATATCTGCAAAGTAACTTAAGGTACTACATACATAGTGGAGTAAAGGTACAATATTGACCTCTGAATTGTATCGGAGTAGAAGTACAAAGTAGCATACAATGGAGATACTCAATTTAAGTACACGTAGCTCAAAATGGTTCTATACAGTACTTGAGTAAATGTACTTAGTTACTTAACACCAATGTAAGCCACTGAGGGCAAACAGGGCGATGAGGCAGGAAGACGATAACATGATTATCAGAAAAGTGTCTGCTGTAAAATGATTCACGGTGCCTTCAGGGACAGATGTGAAACCTCGCCCGCCTTCCTCTCTCGGATCAGGATTACTACTTTCACTTTTGGTCATCAATTTGAAACTTTGGCCTGAGTAGGAGACCAAATCCTCTTCACTCTGCCGATAGATCTCTGACTGCACAGACTCATGTTTGGGTTAATGATCTGATCCCTGGGCAGCTTCTGTAATGCATTTGCATTTGACAAATTAAGACTGCTCTATCTGAATCATAGGTCTACTTAGTTTAACTTTCTTCCAATAATATATTTGTAAATATTCCAAATTAAGGATGAAAACAATGATTGTAGTAAAGTATTTTAAGGGTGTCCATCACTTCCGTGGTTGATGATGTTATCGGGGACAATGGTTGCTCTTGAGATGTGGAGTGTAGTAAGAGCTTCTGATCACTTTGCTGTAGGCACACACACACACACACACACACACACACACACACACACACACACACACACACTGCTTGTCATGTTTGGCTATATTGTGACTTCATTTTTGCTTCACTCATCTATACTTATTTACTTGAAGTGAATTTTTCTTATCGTACCTGGTTTTAGGATGTTTTTTGTTTTATTGAAGATTGCACCTGTTGCCTTTAAGGGCCTGTCCATCTGACCTGTGGTGACAGTGAGACAACCAGAACTCACTTCCTGTTCTGGGGCACAAACTTTGACCATACCAGGGTTCAGTTTCTAATGTGAATCTTTGTAACATAAACCGGATTTGGTGTGTAGAACAGTGCCAGCTTCAGCCGTTAGATCAGTGGCACCTCAGCACTAAATCACTACAGAGTACAAATACAGTATGTACGAGAGATATATGCAATTCATAGGGCTGTATCTCATCAATGAGGCCATTATAGTACATAAAGCAGCCTGTTAGTCTTCAGCGTGTGGAGGAGTGCACTATCTGTGTTGTTTGGGACCCTTAAATGCAGTGGTGTAAAGTAACTAAGAACATTTACTCAAGTACTGTACTTAAGTACAATGTTGAAATAATTGTACTCTACTTGAGTATTATAATTTGTTGCTACTTTGTACTTCTACTGCATGATTCAGAGGTAAATGGTGTACTTTTCCTCCACTACATGTATTTAATACCTTTAGTTACTTTACAGATGTGGATGAATGATGTGAAATATAATCAAGTGTTAAATCAGACTTTAGTTCCACCTGGAGTAAATTCACAAGCTACTCTGCAGTATACAAAGTCATTCAAACTAGCTGCACCTTTACCAGCTTTGAGAACACTTTCATGATCAATCATTATAAAACATATCATATATATTATTCTGAAATGGACCAATCTGCACAATGACTACTTTTACTGTCGCTACTTTCACTATATTTTGATGAGAATACTTTTCTACTTTTACTTGAGCAACATTTTGAATGCAGGACTTTTACTGTAACAGAGTATTCCTACACTCTGGTACTTCTACTTTTACTTAAGTACCAGATCTGAGTATTTTTCCCACCTCTGCTTAAATGTAATCACGGGCAATCTCAATACTGCAACATTTGAAATGGGTTCTTCCTGTATCTCTGTCTTTCCTCCTGTTAAACATAACCCTGACACAGCCTTACAGGAACTCTCCCCCAGTTTGCTGTGGGACAGCTTGACCATCACGTGTTCAGCAGTGTTGGTGTAGTGCTCCGGTGTCCACTAACCTTTGGCTATGCAGTGTAGGTTACACTCATTGTCACGTTGTTTATCTGAAAGGATTTAGCTCAGAGCTGCTGCAGTACATTAATCCAATAAGTGGAGTTTATCTAGTGTGTAATACCCAAATAACAATAGATGCACTAACATTTTATTCACATTTATTTTTGCTTTTAGTGTGCTCACAGAAAATTAGAACACCTTAAGCAGAGGAGTTTAATAGCATTTTTTTTTTGTAAGCAAAGTTACATTCCGTCTCTAGGCCAAACTGGTCAAAGCTTCTCCAGTATTTACAAAAGGAAACAAAGAGAGATAGAGAGACAAGATGCTACACAAACATTTGCATCTAATAGATTCCTTACATTTAGTCAAAGACCACTGAAAAACCATTGCTTGCTATAATCAAAAACATAGCACAGTATATAAACAGTTAACCATCCACTTATCACAGCTTGGTTTCGAGTTCACAATTGCTTAAGAAGGTCTTCCAGGTGGACTTTTGTGTTATCTTACAAAATTGAGCGGGTTGAAAAAGAGCTGCAAACTTCATGTGCTTCTTCTTGAGCAAGATTTAATTTTGTACAATAATCACAGTTAAAAACACCCCGCCTATACATACTTACATTTGTATTAAGGTCATAAAACCAACAATAAACAATAAAGCCTATACAACTTGTATTTCTACTGAATCACTGACAGCTAATGAGATGTGAAAGCTCCTATGAGTTTATATTTCTTCCTAAAAACCTAACTCTGGAAATTGTTGTTGTAAAAATGACTTAGTGTTGTAAACCGTATGGTGTATGTCCATGTTGGTCTCAGTTTTTAGACTATTATTTTTTCTAAATAATCTGTGGCACTTCTAGCCCCCCCCCCCCCCCCTTCATTTACATACCATGGGCATGTCCATACCATTTTGTTAACATTTTGTATAACAATTCAAAAAGAAGAAAATGTAATACTGATGAAAAAATATATGGCAGTGTGGTTGTCCTAATGTGTTTTACAAACTGAAGCCACCCACCTCTGGCCCGCTGGAGTGGAAGTAACAAGGGGCCAGAAGGGGTTTTGTGAAAGGGGGAATGTAAACCAAAAAATAAAAATAAAGAAAAGCCTTAGAGAATCCCTGGTTGTAGAAATGTTCTTTAAAGCCAGGACCTGGCGTCACTCCAACATGCAAACAGGGAAATGTTCTTTGATTATCTTCTTTTCTCCTTTTTTCCAATTTCTCCCTCTTCTGGAACTTATTCAGTTGGTTCTGCCACGGCAGCCGGAGCCTCCGCTGACGCTGCTTCCTGTGAGGGGGGGGCAGCCTCCTCTGTTGTGGGTGCCTTCTCGGCTGGTTTCTCCTCGGGGGCCGTGGCCTCCACAGCGGGCTTCTCTGCGGCTGCCTCTGCGGCTGCCTCCTCCTTGGCGGGCTCTGCAGCAGGTGTGCCCCCCCCCTCAGCAGGTGTAGCCCCCCCCCTCAGCAGGCTTGGCCTCCTCACTGGGTGCCGCTGCCTCCTCTGTGGATGCTGCTGCCTCCTCGGCCTCTGCTTCCTCTCCTGTCTCCTTTTTGGTCTTCTTAAAAGAGAAGCCGCTGAGCTTGAAGGACTTTTTGAAGGAAAACCGCTTCTTCTTCTTCTTGGGGGTTTCGTTGCTGGTGGAAGGTGTGGCGCCCTCCTCTGTCTTTGCTGCCGCCTCTCCCTCAGCAGGGGCAGGAGACGCTGCCTCTACGGTCTCCCCCTCTGCAGCCTCCTTCTCCGCGGGGGCCTCGGCCTGGTCCTCCTGGGGGCTCTCCTCGGCCGCCGCACTGCCGTTGGCCTGGACCACCTCCTCTTTGCCGTTCTCAGCCGCTGTCGGAGAGGCGTCTCCGTTCACTTTCACATGGCCGTTTTCCTAAAGATAGAAACAGGGTCTGTTAGTGCCATGTTAGGAGCTGGCATGGTTTCCAGACTGAAGCCGGACCGCAGGGGCAGCAGACCCCAGATCAGATCAGGGACAGACTCACTTTAGGCCCCCCTTCTACCGTGGAGCTTTTGGAGACTTGGCACTTGACCGTTAGGAAAACAATCTAACGCTGACTAAAGAATGCAACATGTTTTGGCCCTGGACTTCTCTCTCACCCTGAGCAGAGCGCAGTGCCCGGATGGATCGCCAGGGGTCAGTGCCTGCGCGCTCCAGCAGCGCGCACCAAGCAAAGCAGCTGCTCATTATAACAGCAGATGCCCATTAGTGCAGACACACTTCAGACATATTTCCTAAACATGTATAAAACCTAAACGGGGATCCGAATTGTACGTTTTCTCAGATATACAAACTGTTCAAAAGAAGCGATTAGACACAGCCCCCTCTCTCCAGAGCTACCAACCCTGCTCTCCCCCCCCCCCTCCTCCTGTGTGATAGCCGGCTGCCATCTCCACTTTCTAATGGAGCATCTGTAACAAAAGCTCGGTGCTCTGGGCGCACAGCCGTTGTTGCTCCGTGCCTCCTGTCTTACTCAGCAGTTTTTACATTTCCATCGACAGGATTTCCAAGTGAAGCTCTTATTTTTATCCTACAATATTTTTTGGGATTTTTTGATTGCATTTACCAGGCAATCATTCAACACATGGATTTATCAAAATGCTACATTCAAAGTGGTTGTATTCACAAAAGATCAAACCAACTAGTCTTCCTGCTCAAAATGAATAGCTTGTTTTCACATTTCCTTTACATTTCCGTGCCATATAACGCTTTCAATGTAAGACTGGAAATATCAAAGACTTATCTGTTACTCCAATCTATTCATAATTATTCACAAGTATTTCCAATTAGTTCAAACTCCCACCACAGGTCTCCATTCATTCAATCCACAATTACGCACGGATCGCGCCCTCAGAGCGCATCCCTCCAGAGGGGTCAGATTCTCCCTGCTGGATGAGAAGAGGCGGCAGATATAATATCGTTTACCTGTCCGTTGGCCTTGGTGGGTGAAGCAGCCACCTCTCCGGGCTTCTCAACCGCGGTTTCAGCCTTTCCAGATGTCTTGGTCAATTGCGCTCCCATGCTTTTAGCTCCAACAAAGAAACTCAACTGATCCAAAAAACGAACAAAGACCCACAAGCCTCTTTGTTGAAACGTTAAGCTCTTCGCTGCCGTTTCCCTTTCTGCCAAAAGAAAAAGTTCAAAGAGAAAATGTAACGCCAAGTCCAGACAGAGCGATGAGGGTTTTCTTTAAATCAGGAGAAAGCTGACAGGTAGGAGCGGTAATAAAATCCAGTATAGTGTAGACAGGCTGCAAAATGGAGAAATGTCCCGTGTTGCTAATAAGATGCGGAGTCCAACGCCCAAGTGAAGAGATGAATGGGAGCTCCGAGCGATGACGGCACCGCACTCTGATTCAGCAAATCACAGCCGCCGCTCAGAGCGGGGGCGGGGTTTGGGAAAGGGAGCGAACAATGGATTGTAGCGCTGCATTCAGGGAACGTTGGGATCATACATTTCTGAATAATCGGAAACATCAAACCTCTTCAATGCAACAAGATATTTCCAAACCTCATGATCCTTTGTCTTGCATGTAAATGTAAAATACTGACCATGATGAGCAAGTATGAACGTTTTGCACAAGTAAATTATAGCCTATAACTCAAGGTATAATGACTAGCGTTCTAGAGCCAATTTCACACATATTGTGCACCACAAGCTGAATCAACATTTATTAACTTTTGTTGGGTCCAAAATGAAAATACGTCAATTCAAATTAATATTTGTGTCATTATTATCATTTGATATATATTGTTTTGTATAGCTTTGTCAGAGTTGATTAATTTTTGTAATATTTTCATTTAACCAAAATTCAACTTAAAGGGGACCTATCATGCAAAATGCACTTTTGTACGTCTTTTATACATGAATATGTGTCCCCGGTGTTCCAGGGAACTCACCAAGTGTCAGAAAACACAACCCTCTCTATTTTCCTCCATACCCAAATCTCTAAAAAAGGGGCTGCAACGGATCTCATATACCCCTTTCACACCAACGGTGTTTCAGGGCCGGTTCGGTGATGGTGCTTGAAAAGCACTGGGTTTTCCTGTTCACACCGCAGCGGAGCAGCGTCATAGCTCCGGAATCCGGTTCGTTTCGAGCACCAAAAAGTTGTCCGTCTAGAAGCAAGAACCGCATACGTCACGCTTACGTCGGAGGGGGGCGAGATTAACCTGAGCTAACACTTAAGGCGAGTACGGCAAATAAAAGTTGTAACAAGCAGTAGTGCTGAGCAAAGTGACTAGAACGCAACCACACACTTGTTAAAAAAAACACACTTTATAAAGTCAGGCAACACTAACCAGGCTTCGTGTGATTCTGTTTATTTGTACCTTACTTTGACCATCCGTTCGCTGTTATTGATCATTGTGGAGAGCAGGCAGACGTTTTGTTTATTATAGCAGCTATCGGATGGAATCAATACATGGGCTGCACAGGTTGTCATGTCCGACTATCACAAGTAGAATCATAATGAAAAATACGTCGGTAAAAAGTGCCTGTAGAAAACTGCTTAGCAAGTAGTCAGTTTAGCTTCGGTTGCTATGCTAACATCACCCATGTTATACCAGAGAAACTTTCATAACAGCGTTGTGATGCCAAACAGCGTCAATTCAGACTGACACCAAACAGCGTCAATTCAGACTGACACACATTCACTTAAGGGGAACTGGGGATATGTATCAGCTGCTTGTGTGACAGTCAGACAGTGAATACTTTAGAGCCGCTGCAGTGCTGGCCGGCTGCTCTTCAACGGGAGTGTATTCTCCCGTTAGCTCCGGGTTAGCTCACGGGAGAATACACTCCCGTTGAAGAGCAGCCGGCCAGCACTGCAGCGGTCGGTAAATGCCGCTGAAACACATTAATAAACAATGAACCACGGCACTCTGGAGAAAAGTATAAGGTTGGAGAAGTCGTTATTTAATTTAATCTGACTTCGTATGATTAAAAGCAACGCAGTCCCCGGCCCGTTGTTGTTGTGAGGTGAGCTCCGGCGTTGGGGAGAAACTCAGCGACGTAAACTGTGACGTCATGACGCAGCAGCGGCAGCACCAGTCGGGCTCTGAGCGGTGTGAAAAGAGCCGGCGCTAAACCGAAGAACCGGTTCTGAACCAGAAAAGCTCTAGCACGGAGCTTGAACCGGAGTTGCGTTGGTGTGAAAGGGGCAATACAGACTGATCCAGATTTGAACACTTCTATGACGTCACAGAAGTGGCGCTACGGCTATTGGGCCAACTCTCCACCTATCAGGGGAATGTGGGGTTGGGCCACGGCCGGCCATTGCCGCTCGAAAGCGCTGGAGACGCTGTAGTACATATGCCAGGCCTGTAAGTGGCGCTGTAGTCTGCCACAAAAGCAGCGAAGAAGACTTCCCGCCCATAGTTACCATGGTTACCCTTCTGTTTATTCTCCGCTGTGGCTTTCTTTCTCCCTCCCCGAGGCAAGCGTTTGCTCCCGCTGCAATGCAATCCCTCCCCGTCGAGGCAAGCACTGTAATTCTCTCCGGTTAGTCCACCAGCAGATGACAAACACCCACCTCTCCGCCTCTTCCAAGGAACGAGGGGACCGTGCGGCAGAGTTTCAGTTTCAGTTTCTTTCGCCGGTCAAGATGTCCGTTAAAGTTTAAATCTTCCGGACAAAATTTGAAAAGTGCCGGTCAAAGGTCTTCTTTGTTATTTATTGAGCTTTAAAACAAATGAATAACGACTCTATATAATAAAACACGGAGGACGGAGATCTCTTTTTCTCCCCCTCTTCTGACAGCCCAGCAGCTGATCAGAGCACGTCTCCCCTCTCCTGCAGGGGGGCGTGGTCAGCAGAATCAGACCTGTAGACAGCAAACAGCACATAGAGCGAAATGAGGCATGGCTAAAATGCATGATCTGTTTGGTATTTTGAAAACAGAAACGTATAAATATACCTTATATAGGTATGGCCCTACAATATATCATTTAAATATAGCATGATACTGTAGGTCCACTTTAATGTATGTGATGTTCAAAAAAGGTCAGGTCTGTGTCATTGCACCTAATTCCAAGACTTAGATAACCATAGCATGTATAAGTTGAGTTCCAAAGAAAAGAGAGAAGCAATCTGAGCACCAGGACAGTCAGAACACACTTGAACATAATTAAACTGGATCCAAAATGCAATGAACCCACTCAGAACTGCGATGCATCACATGATCAGAGCTGAGACCACTCACTGGATGTGAGCTGGGCTGATTGATGTTTCGTAGAAATGTGAACCCATTAAGATCTCCAGACCACATACCAGTTTATGTTTTACTTTCAATCAACAGTGATAATATGTCAACTTTTTGTTCACATGATGCATGAAGGCTATTGAATATAAATGTCCTGCTGATGAAATCATCAATTTTCAGCTCTTAAATCATAAATCAGCAGGACTATCTTAATAATAGTAATTTAGTATCTGACATTACAAGTGGGAACTTGTTTACTTACACATTTGAAGTGTGTCTGCACTGAAGATTATATAATCAAATGTTTGGCTTCATAAACCATACATCAAAATGAATGACTGTACTCGGCTCTAGACCAATTTTACTGAGGGGGATTTGATCAGAATCAGAAATCAGCATCAGAATTGTGGGACAAAATTGTCATTTTTCGTAAAGTCAAAAGTCAAATTGTCCAAAAAACTCATAAAAACATAATTTGTATTTGTTTGTTACTGAATGTGTCAATAACTTAAGTTACATTCTTTAATTAAATTACTATTTTAAAACAAAACGCATGCTATTGTCATAGAGTCTTCTTTGGCAGGTGGGTCAAAGAGGGGGTCCAAGCTCGGTGTTGAAGGGGCACTGCACTTTTTATCATTATATTAACATATGATGAAGAAAACCATACAAAACAAACAAAAGCACACTCATAACTGATGAAAACAGGGAAAAATGTTAGCAGACACCTGTGTGAGCTTGGGAATGTGTGTGTGTGTGTGGGGGGGGGGCGCTTCCCGGAGTAGTTTCAGTCTGCTGCTCTTTGATGTTATCTGGTGCAATGCAAAGCAGCCGCCCTGAGCCACTCTCACCTGGATCAGAGTACCAAACTTGATGCAGTTTCCGTTAATGGCCGGTGTATGTCGATAACGGATTTAAAGAATCCTTAACCTACAAAATGATTATTTGTATATTAATTATTCATACCTTGAATTCTTGCATGTCTCCACGGTGATTCACAGCAAATATGTGAAACACCAGTTTACAAACTCTCTCACAACTTGTTGAAAACACTGAAGAAGGAAGTAAATGTCAAGAATTTGCTTTCATACAAAATCCTTAGTTACAACACAGTACCTTTCTTACACTTACAATAAGATTATTGATGACATGAAAAATGTTGAACATTTTTGGTAAATGACCAGTACATTTTTTACTGATTGTCAGTCTTAAAACAACAATCACTGTAGGCCCTGGGAACGTTGTGATGGATATCTTTTACTTTTTCTCTATTAATAGTTATGTAGTGATAAGTGAAATTATTTAGTGGCTTTTACAAAAAGCAATTTTTTGTCTGTCTGTTTTCTCTTCCATGTTGCCCTTGTTGAAACACATTTTAACCGACAGGGCTTCAACCCTGAGCTGGTACAAATGGCCAGGAGGGCAGAAAGTCGACGTGTGTTCGTCGACTTGTTTGGCAGTTTTGCTCTTAGTTATCTCATGAGCCACACAACACTGTGGTGCTTCTGAGTTTCAGAGCTCTTACAAGTGGGACCACAAGTGAGGGGGTGCAGTTTTAGAGAGAATAAATGGATAATGACTTATTGTTGTGCTAAATACAGGATATTAAGTTTCAGATGGAAAGAAGATTATCTGCTGTTGAGCTGCTGAACACGCTCTGTGAGGACGGGGAAATGGCAAACCGTTACTACTGAGATGAGAATATATCATGGTTAGATTATCTTCATCTGATGCTACTGTACATATTCCACCAAATTTCAGAAACAAGAATGGTTAGGCAGTGTGACGAGCTATAGCATGATGGGATGTGCAGTATTTGTTCATCTACAGTATGTGAGGAAGTGCTTTTTTTGTCCAGTATTTTATTCACTTGATTAGCCACAGAAAAGTCAGATTTTTCCATTCATAAAGTTATTTTCAATGTACAATTTCTTACGTTGATTGGATGCCATTAGTCCCAACGCCCCAGGTACCAAGCTATATCAACTGTAGTACTGTAGAAAAAAGTTAAGTTAGTTTTCATAATTTTGTCATTGATCTGCTAGCAAAGTACCGCTTCATGTGACATCCTGGTTAATACTTATATATGTTC